AAGGTTTCTGTCCAGCTGTGACCGAACAGGTAGGCTGACTTAGAATGAGGGATTTGCAGGGAGGACCTGAAAGAATTGTGTTTCAGTCATACCAGAAATCCCCGGTTATGCTGACGTGTAAGGAGGAACCGGGCTCCCTTCTCCTTCTCCTCATGTTAAGTCAGCAAAAAACCAAAATCATTCTAGAGGGTACCAAAGCTTGCTTGCTTTCCAAAACCAAGCAAACACACACACACTCATACAAAAGGAGAACTAATTAAGATCAAGTCATATCTCAATAAATATGCAAATTAAAAATGAAAACAAAGAAATTCTATTTATCACATCATAAAGTTGCAAATTGCTGTTGTGGTTCCCATCGGCCAGAATAGATGAGGGCTACGAGGCTGTAGGTTTTGAATTAGTAGATCAACCAACGTGTGTACATGTTTTATTGTGATAGCTGGGGGACTGTTGGCTGTAGATCTATTACCAGCCTTCCCTCCCCCTCTTCTGTACTGCGTTCACGTTCAGTGATATTCATAGACTATATTTGTCTTGGAGTTCTCTAATGTAATGTCATTGGTTTTCCTCATTGTTTACCTTCTGTAAGACAACATCATTATTCTTTGGTAAATCTGTCTCATGTCCCTGGGGTTTTTCTCTTTGGGGGTTTTTGGGGGGGGAATTCTTTTGCAGCTTTTAAAAATCAGATTTAAAAAATAAACAAACAAACAAAAATAACAAGAACCTGCCCCTAACAAAAAACCCCACAACTCTTCATTGGAAAAGAAAGAAAGGCACACCTTCTGCAATGGTATGAAATAGTCTAGATGTTGGCATTTCTGCTTATTACCATGTTTCAGCATTTGCATTCTCTCCTAAAGGAGCTGGTCTTTGTGATGTGGAGAAGCAGCATGTGATGACTTTGGCAGCTTCATTGGTGGGACTCTAGCTGGCTCCCCAGCATGCCGCATGCTGCCACCTCTCCTCTTTCAGAAGAACCTCTAACCTGCTGGTTTGAACTAGCCCATTTGTATCGCTTTGTTACGTGTTTTAAATCTTCCCGCAGCAGAAAGAATTATTGGGATGGAAGATTCCACACAGTAAAGAGATGTAGCTTGTTTGTAGAGTTTGGTAGTGTGATAAAGAGCCTTTCAACTTTTAAGTCACCAGTGTGATTACATCCTGCATTGGCAGCGGGAGGAAGTTGGTACCATCTATTTGCTCTTTGGTAGCTCATTATGTGATTTGTGGCGGTGGCATCGATCCAGTGGGTATCAATCCATATCGGAGAAACCACTACTAAAGCCAGTGCTAATTGGCTTGCTCGTTCACTGTCATAGCAAAGGAACAAAGGGCAGAACAAACTAGGAAGAAAATCTTCTTTCCTGACCTCTAAACATGGTCTAGGCACATCCTCACTTGTGGGGAACATCTCCCTGCAATATATCTGCCCAAGTATTGAATTGTCACAGTCTTGGTGTTTTGTGTACTATGTATGTGGGCAACATGACAGCACCCATCTTGGAAGGGAGAGCTTTTGAAGTCCATTGTAAAGATTTTATGCATAAATTCTTGCTTCATAAAGACTGTACCTTCAGTTTTCAATGTAAGGAAATGGCAGGTTTGTGTGTTTTTCTTTCTCATTCTCTGATTGTTGTCTTCCAGATTTCCTTTCCATAGTAAAGTGCTTTTGTGCTAGAAGTCATTTTCCCCTTTTTGTCAGAAAACCAGTCCTAAAATCATTTAAGTTATCAAAAAATTCAGAAGGTCCTTTGTTATTTGGTTTCCCAGCTTTAAGTAATAATAGGGATTTTTTTTTTTTTTTTTAATTGTTATCCTGGCAATGCAAATGTTTGACCTTCAGTTCCTAGGTTGCAAACTGAATAATTCCATCTGTAAAATATCAGTGAGATGGGTGGCAGCTATGCTTTGTCCCAATGGCATTAGCAGCTCCTCCCAAACGTACAAGTGCGATATTGGAAGTAGATATGCTTTGGTTCTTTTTGATTGCAAAGCCACAAGAGCAGAGCTTATAAATGAAAAATCTAGTTCCCCTGAGTTTAGTCAGCTTTGAACATTATCATAGGTATTTGGTATCGTGGTAATTCATGCCATGCCTGCATATGAAAAAAAAGAAGACATCAAACCCACTGGTCAGACTCAGTAGAGACCACTGCTGCTTGTTGTTTGTACTGGGAGGATTGTCCTGGTTTGCTTGTTTTGTTTCATGTCACGTACTCAATTTCAGTATGAGTTCTTCCTGACCCAGATTTCTGAGCAGACTGAAGTGGAGCCAGAAACTGTAAAAGTGCATAATTATTCTTTTATTTATTTTTAAGCTGTACTGCTCTATTAAGCTTTCAGAGAATCCTTTATACCAGGCCTTTGAAGTAAACTAAGCCAGAGATCAGCCAGAGAAGAAGTGGGTTGACACTGCTTGTTTCTGCTTGCAGAGTAGTCTGTATACAGTTAAGATCTGGAGTCTCAAAGCTAGGAAAAACTTACGCCTTTTTTGGAGTGCAGAAGAGAGAAAGGATCAATACCTCCAAAAGCAATACTTTACACCTTTGGTATGTTCTGAAACCTCAGATGCTGGCACTGCTGTGAAACAGCTGAGAGCTGGAAGATTATTCCGGGTACTGACATGTAAATGAGTAGACCACACATTAAAGCTGTGTATGCTCCATCTGCCAAGCCATTCATTTTTCCCAACTTGGGACAAATTAGAAACTCTGGCCCAGTGGCGGAAGATTATTATTCCTTTCCCAGTCCCCCAAAGCAATACATTCCCCTGCTTTGAGACTGATTGAAAACATTGACCTGGAGGTGAAAAACACAGTATCTGTCCCCCTGATTCATCCAGACTCTGACCCAGGCAGCATTGAAACTACAGGCTTCTTTCTGGTCTCAAAAAATTACCCAGCTGCCCTCTTGGGCTAAGGGCCAAATGGGAGCTAGGCGGCTAGGTAGGAGAAAGACCCTATCGCCCGGAGCCACCTAGTTTAGTGGTTATAATTCTGCTGTAAATATTGCATTAGGCTAACCTAATATGGTATGTATTGAAAGTGGACACGTAAAGAAAGCCTATGACCATTCCTGTAAGTAAATGGCAGGAGGCTAAGGTGGTGTAACCTACCCTTCTGAGATCCAAACGATGTAGCTGTGACATCCGTTTACAGTCTTTCCTCAGCCATTCAGACTTGCCTCTGAATTTGGCCCTTCCTCGGGAAGTCATGCTGTCAAAGGCTTTTCATGCTCCTTCCAAAACACAAGCACTCCTGGTATTTCTGCCCTCCTTGGAGCCAGTGTGCTCAAAGACCCGAGAACCTCCGTTTTTTGTTTGTGCTCCCTCTTGTTAGCAGTGCTCTGAGCTTGCACAGAACAGGAGGAAAAGATGCCAAAGCACTTCAACCACCTGAATTAATTAGGTCTTACACTAAATGTGGAACTACAGTGAGGTGGATGATGATTAAACCAGCAACTTTCTGGAAACTGAATACCTCCTCCTCTACTATATTTCAGCTTCTATAACCTTGTAAGTGCCTCAAGGCAAGAATGGTGTTGTCTGTATATAAAGGACTCCGTTTCTGTATAAGCAATAGCAATAATAGTGATAACAATAATCATTTCTCCTGTGAGGTAGGAAAGTATCACGCTTCATTTTACAGATGGTGAAACAGACACAAAGACATAGAGGATCTTGCTTAGAGCCACTTCATGCCTTATTAGCAGGGCCAGGATTGAACCCAGGAAGCACATTTCCCTGTTACTTGCTCTTACCCCTACAGAACACACCCTCCTTTGATGACGACCAGTCTCTCTTCTGATTTTTCTGCAGAAGCTGCAGCAACAGCAGCCTGGAGACTGATGATGAACCTCCTTGTGTGGAAGAAATTGATTATAATACTGACAGTTGCTCTGATGGTGAAGGGGACTTCTCGGAGCTAGACCAAGAGATCCAGGAGTGCCTCTCGTGGGTGGAAGGAGAGGCAGAAGATGAGGGAGTGACTACAGGACAGACATGCAGCTCCAAGGCTCTCAGGGAGCTCTACATTTCCAGCCAACCAGCATCCAACAGTACAGCTCTCCCTCTGCGTTCAACAGCACTTGGGGTGTACAGTGGGTTTGAGAGCAGCCCTGCGTGAACGAGGCTTTGACTTGCAGAGCAGTAAGCAAATGGGTTACTGCTCATGTTTGCCTGTTTGCCAGCTTCAGCATCCTTCCCAGATGTGTTGCTCCAGTTCTGAATAGAAAGTTGACTGTATGTTTGTGTAATTTGTATACATATATGTATATATTGAGAATGACTCCTCGCGCTTTGTACACAAGGCAGAGCGAGGGGCCACTGGCCCAGATGGTACTATGTGAGAACACCATCCATTCCTAAACATAAACCCCAGTTTCACGGCTGCCTCTAGTATGTGGTTTCATACAGATTGACCTGAGGAATGGTCTTCTGAGACCAAGGAACCAGAGATGATTGTCCTTTTCCTACTTTAGGCTCTTATTATGGGAAGCAGCCTTTGCCTGGAAGAGTGACAGTTACTGTTGCCTTTGGCCAGAGCTCTTCATTGCCATTCATTTCTCTTAAGCTGTAGAGCACGTATCTGATTTCTGTCTGATCAGAAATTTTACAGTGTGTTCAACAGGTTGGGTCAGGCTGTGCATGCTTCTGAGCTGGTCATATCTCAGCAGCAGGGTGGGAAATCCAGTGTGCCATAGCAAGGAAAGTACCCGTGACAATACAGAGTAGTTCTCTGGAAACCTGGGCTGAATTCACCTCTTTGCTGCACTGGAATGAACTAGTCCAGCGTAATCTCAGTTGAGTCACTTCATGCTTGAACTGATGGGCCCAAGTGTAGAATTCGTTTCACAGATGCTATGAAATTATATTTTCTCTGTGAGACATCCTTCGAGCTAAGAGAGTACAGATACAACAGTTCATCCTGGGGAACTAGAGCTACTATTTAAAGCTGTTGGGAGTGAGAGGGATTTGTGGCATTTTAAGGAGAAAACCACGTTCTCTTGAGGTAGCCAGGGGTCCCCCCAATATTCTGTCAATAGATTAGTGATGGTGGCAATATCCAAGAGTGAATTTATCCCAAGCATCAGTCCTGTGACTGATTATTCTTTGTTAGTTTTACTATGATACCACTAAGGAAACCTAGCTCATGGAACAGGACCCCATTGTGCCAGGCAGTAATATAGTAGAAGACATTACTGGTAGGTTATATATAGGACATGTTCTACCAGTGACTCCCATAATGGAGTCAGAACAATTTCTCCTTTGATCCCCAAATGGAAAAAAATTAGATTTCTCCTAAAATTGCCTGCAAACACAGATCCCGATTCCTGAGAATCCACCACAGACTGAGAACCCACATGTGTGCCCGACATCCCAAAAGCATGAAGCCCACATCACCACATCTCACACCTCATATTGCCTGAACTTCTCATGTGTCTTAGACTCTGCTGCTGCAAATGGGGAATTGCCCTGAACACAAATGGAACCAATTGCATGATGCAAGAGGCTCCCAACTCTGTCACTACTTTATGAGGCTCCAGGAGAAGGATGAATGTATAGTGTGTTGTAGCATTACAGCATATAAGGCCTCCATTAGCAGTGATTATTATTATTAATAATATTGATGCATGACTAAAAGCACCATGTCATCCTCTCATCTTTATGCTGTTTGTGGAGAGAATTCCTGGTACAGAATGAGGTTTTCTCTGCTGCATTTCTGAACACCTTTCCCCAAACTACCTAGACATATTTTCCAGCAGGAGCTTGGTCTTTGGAGAAATAGCTTCTTCCTGTCCTGCTGGGTTTTCAGTCCCCAGGTGTTTTAAAGACTTCACCAGCACGTAAGATTTCTCTGTGTCTCTAGCTCTTTCTTTATGACGCTGCTCAAAAGACAGGCGGCTTGGGTCCTTAGAAGCTGAGCTTCTTAGACCAAACCAATTCATTAGGTATGGTGTGTGTTCTCTGTACAGATGTCCAGTTCTCTTTGTTTTAGTGTGCAGCTCGTTGCACACAATACTGAATTTTCATAAAAGGTTGGCTCACAGGAATGGACATAAAAGTGGTAAAACAGGTGTTCCCATTATAATAGTTTGTATAACATTGCTTCAAAGCTTATTAATAAAAACGATATATGTGCATAGTTAACTTAAAAATCCAACATTCGTATGCATGACAAAAACCTCACACTGTGCTAGGTCCAGACTGCAGCGCACACAGGCCATGCTGTAAGATCTTCAGCATTCAGCACATCCCAAGGACACAGGGCAAAAAATACCATTGTACATATATGTGTGTGTAGATGTGCATGTATACATCCAGAGCTGCTTTTCTCTCCCATGCTGCATTCTGTACCAACGCCCTGCCACAATAACTGAATGATGATTACCGAGGGTTGCCAATGGTACACCTTATTGCAAAGGGAAAAAAAATCTTCTTAAATCAACATTTTTCTTAATCAGACACCAATATTTTGGCTATAAATACTATAGGCCAGTCTCAGCCTTCTAGCTGTTTCATTCTGAATTTCTTAAGCTAGGGAGAATTCAGTTCAGTGGGAAAACTCTGCCCTCGTTGTGATTCATTGAATCAATAGACTGCAGAAGAGTTGTCCTATTATAATAAAAGCAGAGATGTAGCTTCCATGCATGGTTGGATCCAAATGTATATGAGCAGTACCACTGTTTCACAGATCCCTGTGCTAGGAGCTGCAGGAAGCAGAGAGATGGCAAAGGCCCTTAGGGTGTTTTCAGTGTCTGGGATCCAAGTGCAGCAGCCGAGCTGGGAGCAAAGTGTCCACGCACATCAACCACACGTGCATAAACGCTGCTGTGCAATATGAAAAGGCTGGCCAGGTCTTCTCTCTCACAGCTTCCCATGTTTTTGCCAAACAACTTGTCAGCAAGTGGTGAGGATGCTGCAGAAGGCAATGACCAGGCGAACCACCCAGCCCAAGGGTGCTCAGCCTGCTGCTGAGAAGGTGGGAGCAGAGGAAGTACAGCAAGAGGGTCGGGTGACCAACCAGTCGGGAATACCACCTGGAAACCTCCAGCAGAAGCAGTTTTGTGGGCTGCCTCATTTCTTCCAGGAACTTCTACCCAGAGCAGATGCTATTCTTCTTTTGACAGACCTCTAGAGGTCAGGAGAGGGCCTCCATCGTGCACTGCTCTCTCCGCGCTATTAAAATTCTCCCTGAGTCATGGTAATTAAGCAGAACTAGGCTCTGCACAGAGGAACGGAAGTGCATTGACTTTAATAAAACAGAGTGTAAAACAACTTTAGATTAACTCCAGCCTTGTTTATTCTTGCACACTTGTAATTCTGGTTTGGTATTCCCCCTGTGAATGGAGCCATTGTCCCCTGCGCTGAGGCACGTCACCTCACTTCAGCCTGCTAAGTGCGGAGCAGTGAGGCCAGTGCCTTTTCTTGCTGTCGCTAGCTAATCCCAAAGAATTTGGAAACAGCCGATGGAAAAAGGGAGGGAGGAGAGGGAAGTCACCCTGCTCCCCACCGTTGCCGTTCCTCAAGAGTCAGCAAGGCTGTCAGGTTGAGATGCAAGCCAAATATTTCCATAATAGCCAGAAGAGATGGTGTCCTAAAGGCGCTCGCATAGTCCCCACTGCTAAAGCAGTTTTGGGCTCCTGCCAGGCACATTAACTTTTTTTACTGATGCCTTTTGTCTCACTGACTCTCTTAGTGGCTGTGAATAGCTCCGCTCTCCTTCCTCCCCTCCCATGGCTTACATGACATGGGTAGAAGATGCAGCACTGAGCAGGGCTCACACTGCACCCTCTGTCTCAGCCTCTTGCCGGCTCTCAGGCCTGCCTGGCCACAATAGCCCTTTCCTATCAGAGACGATCCTAAGAATGCCTTGCCAGCGTCTAGTGAAATACACGTGTGTGTAAACCTCTGGGCTAAAAATAAATAATTAAACAATAAAAATAAAAAGAATCAAGTCAGCAAACTAAAGGAAGAACAAAATCTAATTAGTTTTATCTGCTGTTTGTTATGAGGCTGTCAGAGTGCTCTATCCCCTGGTTTTACAGCACTCTGGAAAATAACAGTGATAATAATAATAAACAACCGTGCACTGGGTTGGTTTTGAAGCAAGCAGGAAGCAGATTAAGGAGGGGAAAAGACAGCAGCCCCTCTCCTCTGCTGCTTTTCTCCTTCTGCCAAAAAACAGAGATGCAGGTGATAGCGCTATCTCCTGTCTTATCTGTCTTTGGACAAGATCCACTGCCCCATCCATCACTTAGAGACACAAAGCATGAGTGGGCGACTGTTCAGCAGCCAAGTTGGGACACTCATATTGTATTTCTTGCTCTACCACAGATCTCTTATGTGCTCTTGACCAAACTGTTCATCCTCAGCTCTCAGTTCTGATGTGAGGTATAAACAAGGCTTTGATTCCTCACGGCAAATACAGTAAGGTGTGAGTGAAAAAAGGTGTGTGTTTTGGGGTAAGGAGGGGAAGAAATAGGGATGTAAAACTACCCAGGTGCTAGCTCTATAGTGATTCCAGCTGTTGCCAGTTGAGAAGGCAGCTGGAGTTATTCTGTGCAGGAGTGTGGTGGTAGTTGCCATCACTACTTTCCACTTCAATGATGTGCAGTGACAGTGATGGTTCATTAGGCGTTCCTCTTTAAGCTGTGCTGAATAATTTCAAAAGTCTCTCCTTGCAGGTTGTTATCAGCCTATCCTGCCCCATGGCCTGGTCCTCACAGCGTGGAATTTTTTACACCTGTTTTAGGGACAGCGGGATTTAACCCTGCGTTTGAAAACTCTTGAATGGTTTTCCAGGCAGAGGGCTGGACACAAGGCTCCAGCTGGAGATAATATGCAAAAGCTTGGAGAATAAAAACTCTGTGCATGTAATTGCATCGGGAAAAGATGAAGGAGAAGGCTAAAGAAAGAAGACGTAAATCAGAGGAGAGGAAGGAGGGGACTCAGTGCAGGGAGAGGGATGAAGAGAGCAGATGGGAATAGGAGTAGGGGGCACTTGGGGGAGACACAGGCAGAGAAATGGGAGAATTGTTCCTATTTGTGCATCCTCTTCCGTCCCCAGATAATGTGTCAGTATTAATGCTATCAAGAAACAACCCTCTCTACTGTAGAATAAAT